CATTCCCCTCGTGGGCATCATGGAGGTGCATATTCATCACCACAATTCTCCGGTACTTGGCATTCAAGGGTCTCTTTCTAACTGAATTAGAGTTGTCTGAAGAATTTTGACTGATGGAAATAGTCTTGAGGAGGGGAGAATATGTCTTCGTCTTTCACGCAAAGGCTCTGTATGGGTCAGGGACAGTCCTGGTTGGGGGGTTCTGGACGTTTTCAGCCTATTAAAGTTCTGCCTTGGGCTTATTTATAGTCCCTACTCCACACCAGTGTGGTGGAGAGTGGTCATGGTTCCACCTCATGGTTTAAGAAAGAGCCAATGCCCAAGGCCCTCCAGCCCCGAAGGTCCTTCCAAGTTGTTTGTTCTTTCCCTGCATTCCCATGTGCCCTGACTCCATCCAGTTCTATGGGAAGCTGGAGGGCAAATGATTTGGGTTTGGGGGGCAGAAGGACATGCAGTAGAAACCTGACTCGCCTTATTATGACCACCCATCTATAGGCAAGAACTTAACCTTCTGTTCTGCTTCTCTAAAATGAAGGTAAATGCAAATAGTATTTACTTCAGAGTAGTTGGAGGATTTACTTTTTTTTTTTTCCTGTAAAGTACTTAACACAATTCCTGACCTGAATGAACTCTCAACAAATGGTGTTATTATTATTTCCATCATTCGCTCCTGCTTTCCAAATGCTGGCTCTTTGGAGTTCTTTGCCTTTCCCATCCCCCTGGTCTGTGATCTCTCCCTACTCTGAGGCTCTTCTTTCTAGAGCATCGATTGCACCTTATTTCATGTGTTTTCTCCCCTGATGGATTTTAAGTCCCCTGGGGACTTTGTTCCATAAGCCTTTGTTTCCCCCAAAGGACACAACAAGGTCTTCTCACGGGTCAGAACATTATTGCTTTTGGCCAAAGCTATTGCAGAACTGACAATCACTGGGTCTTCAAAATACAACATAAGATGAATGTACAACAAAATCAATGTAGATATTTCAGGGAAAGTAAAAACAAAGTGTTAGTATTTGTTTCATGAGGTGAATCATCAGGCAAATGCACAGGGTTCTTTTTTTTTTTTAAGAGGCTTTAGCTCAGTTTTGTTGAAGGGAATGTGCACAAATAGAGAAATTTGAATCATTCCATGAATTGGAAATGTAATTTTTCCTTCTGTGTTCAAGAGCTTAGACTTGTAGGAGTCCCAGAAACATCTGCCATAATGGTTACCGTTAAATGGTGGGGAAGGCAGGGGTGAGGGTGGGCGATATTCACCCCAGTGTTAGCTCAGGTTGCTCATGGATACTCTCAAGTAGACGGGGGGATATGGTTTCTCTGTTTTCTGATATCTGCTGACATGGTTTGGGCATCACTTGCCATCACTTCTCCATCACACATAGTCATTCATGTTCACCCGGGATCTCTCCAAACTGCTATTCTGGGCTCTCCTCTTCGCTTCCCGTGAATTCCACATACCAGCCTATCTGGACATCCTGCCCTTTTCCTCACAGTCTCTTCCTGGTGTTCTCCCTGACCTGACCCTCCACCCTCCTGTCCTGACAACATTTTCTCCTCCCACCCCCACCCAGCTCACCCAACTGTTGCAACTGTCTCATCCTTCAAGGTTTATATTCCACTCCAACCACCTCCAGGTAGAATTAACTGCCCTCCTGAGTGATCTCACAACACTTCGTTCAAGCCTTCATGACCTCACTGGCCGTGCTCCTCAGTCTTCTCTGCCAGACCCTCCATACCCATCTGTCGCCTGGATGCTGGAGTCCTTGGTGCCATTCTTCTCTGCTCTCTCTGCACTCTCTCCCTCAGGGATCCCATCCAGAAGTATGACATTAATAGCTTCAGTATGCGGTGGCTTCAGATTTATTTCTGCAGGTCTTGCCAAGCCCCAGGCTTGACTCCACAGTCACCCTCTCTGATCTTCGCTTGGATGCTAATAGGCACCTCAGACTCAACGTGCACCGAACGATCTCTTGATTTCACCTGCTCAAACCTGCTTCCCACTGGAGGAAAAGAAACCAGCTTCGGTCAGTTGCTCAGGCTAAAAACACTGGCCTCCTCATCCTTGATACAGCTCTTTCACATCCCTCATCCACTCCATAAACAAATCTTTGGCTCTTCCTTCAGATATTTCCATGATCCTATTTCTTATCATTTTTTCTGCTCCTCGGTCCAACTTGTCTCCCTGAATTCATTCTCGCAGACTATTCTCACAAAGCAGCCAGAGGGAACTCGATAAAATGAAAATTTGTGTATGTCAGTCCCACTCAAATCCCTCTAACGGCGTCCCGCCATATGCAGAGAGAAATCCACAGTCTTTCCTTCTCACGAGACACTACAGACTCTGGCCTCTGGCCCCCTCTCCTTGCCGCGGGCCCGGTCACACTGGCCTCTGGGCTCTTCCTTGAACACACCAAGAACACACCTGTCTCAAGACCTTTGCACTTTGTTTTCTCTGCCTACTTTCATGTTTTTGCTCACATGTGCCTCCTCAGTGAGGCACTCACCGATCACCCCCTTCGAAGCAGCAGCTCCCCATCCGTACCCAACACTAGCTCTGTCCCCTGCCTTACTTTTCTTCACAGCATTTTCCTGAAACGATGTGTTCCCTTGTGGAACTGCTCATTATCTGCTGCTCCCACAGGGATGGAAGCTCCCTCAGAGCAGGGACGTTGTCTGTTTTCGTCACTGCTGTGGTCCTGCACCTCAAACAGCACCAAGCACATAGTAGGTCCTCAGCACATTTGGTTTGTATATGAATGAATGAATGAGCCTGTATCTCAGCCTGTCTCATATCATAGCCTTTCTTTTCTTTCTTTCTTTCTTTTTTTTTTTCTTTTTGCACTAGCCTGTGTCTTCCCTTTACTCCCCCAGCAATTTGGGGAGCAGAGACCATTTCTTATTCCCTTGAATTACCCATCTGTTCACTTGGCCCTTGGTCCATGCTTGTGGACCTGAGGTGGAAAGGCCTGTGTGAGCTCATGAAAGGTAAGATTAACTGGGCGAGTGCGCTCCCGTGACTACTGGAACTCTCTCCACGGCTAGGTACCGTTGGGCTGTCCCCTTGAGAAGACGATGGCACATCTGTGGAGGAACCTGGCTCTGCAAGCTTCTTGCAACAGTGGCTGAGCCTATTGAAGGCCCCCGATACTGCTGTCACCTGACCCGACTGAACAGGGATTCCCTCCGATGACCAGCCAAATGAGAAAAGATGAGCATATCCTTTCATAAAAGTGAAATGTGGGCAGCATCTTCCCCTCAGCTCTGGCTGTGGGTGACCCGCAGTGAGAGGACAGGAGGGGGGGCATCAGTGAAGGCACCCTGAGGTGACTGTGGCCGTGCCCAGTGCCAGGGGCCCCTCGAAGGACTTCCCACCCATCATTCAGCAGGACCCCACCCTGGGAGACAGGACGGGGAGCGGCCCGCTCACGGGGGTGCCATCACACAAAGACTCCCCCAGCCACGGACCACATCACTGCCGGCAGTATGGCCCAAGTCCCCAATTTCTTCTCTAGTCAACCCCAGTTACCATTTCGTTTTTCCCTGCCGACCATGCTCCACCAAGTAAACACAAAGCTATAAATCTTCGTCAGGACATCTGGGTGTGCAGCACCTAAGCAACCCTGACGCTGATTCCTTAAGAAAACTCATTTCTTGTAATGTGAGCCCTGCTGAGGATGGCCATGTCAACTTATTAGACTTTTTACTTGGCCGTATTGATTCTGCTCTACCCCTATGTGGCCCATAATGCTGGCTAATGTTATTGACGAGCCATCAGTCTTGTGGAGAAGTGTGGGGCTTGCAGCTCTTTCTGAACCACAAAAACCTATTGGTGGACAGTGATGGAGAGAAGGAGGAGGCCACGAGTGGGGCTCTCAGGCCAGCTCCGTGCAGGCCCGGGTACTTTAATGAAAGACATTCTCTCGGTGGCAAGAGACAGATGCAGCTCTCCAGAAGCCATTTATTTATGAAATAATTATGAACGCACAGTTGAATCATGGATTTTCATTACCGTGTGTGCCCAACACTCTTTCTTGATTCATATTTTGTTGTAAATGGAGTGCTGTTCGTTACAGGGCGGGGGGGGGGGGGCAGGCAGAGGCGGGAGGGCAAGGGGGCACCTTCAGGCAGGAGTCCTGGGATATGTTTTCTCTCTTCCACTGGAGGCACTGCCTGTCCTCCCCCTCCTACCACTGTGTGTCCAAGCTGGGCCAGTGCTGTCCCCTGAGGGAGCTCAATTCTGATCTATTCTCACAAGGGACCAAGTTTTTTGACCCCGCAAGTCTGTTTCACTCAAAGAAACTCAGCTCTCAAGGGCCAGCAAAGGTAGAGCCTTACTGACTCGATGGGATACTACAAACAGGCATGACTACAGAAGATGCCCACTTTCCAAGCTCCTTACCTATCAGACCCTCTTATCTGGGGAAATTTCCTACCCTTTCTACAGGCTTCTGTTTTATTTTTATTTTTATTTATTTTATTTTTTAAAAATTTATTTATTTGAGAGAGGAGGGAGAGGGGAGAGAGAATCTGAAGCAGACTCTGCGCTGAGCACAGAGCCCAGTGTGGGGCTCGGTTCCATGACGGGCGAGATCATGACCTGAGCGGAAACCGAGTCGGATGCTTAACTGACTGAGCCACCCAGGCGCCCCCACAGGCTTCTGTTTTAAAACACCATAGGCTGGGTGGCTTAAAACCAGACATTTCTCACAGTTCTGGTGGCTGGGAAGTCCAAGGTCAGGGCGCCAGCAACTTCAGTGTTTGGTGAAGGCCCTTTTGCTGGCTCGCGGGCAGTAACCTTGCTGTGCCCTCATGTGGCATGGTCTCTTCCTGTCCTTATTAAGGCACTGTTCTCATCACGGGGCTCACCTTAAAATAAGGAAAAAAGAAGAAAAAAAGGACTCCCGACCTCACCAATCCCTGGCTCCTTCAAAGCGAAGAAACTACCTTTGACTCTTCGGCTCATCATCTGCTCCCACCTCTCATGGTTGCTCTGACCGGAAGGGAAACCTCAGTGTGTCTCATGCTGTGTGTATCTATATCAATATGAATCCAATACCAAGTCCAGTACCTTGATGGTGAAAAATGTAAATTAAGGGCTGATACCCAGTTTTCACGCTTTGTGTTGGTATTAGGGAAACAGAGTAACCAATTGGATCAATCCTGGCAAAGCTCGAGTGGAGAATTTCTAGAGTCTTGAGGTAAGTGAAGTTGGCTGTGGGATTTATTTCTAGCAGGGCTGCTGCACAAGCAAATGATCAAGGCACGTGTTCTAGCAGTTTCTGTGCTGGTTAATGGGTGCAAGTCTTCCATAGCCCCCTCCTGGTGGTCTTCCCAACACATTCCTTCTTTGCCTCACACCACAAATCTTCATGTGTTGTCTTCCTACTATGCTGTGAGCCCCTGGGGAGGCAGGACAGCATCCTGGCAAATTTGAATCTTGGTACATAAAAGGCACTTCATAAATGCTTGCAAATGAATGAAGGTATCTATTTTATTATTATGTTTAGGTTTTTTTCATCAGAGGCTCTAACCTCCAACTGTTCGCAGCTCAGCCCTTCTGGAAAGTCTAGTTGGTCTAAAATATCCTTGGGCACAGAATATGCATCCACTGGCGATTTTTAAAGTCTTTATAAAGCAGTAGAAGTCCTTCCTCCCTAAGAAGACCTAAACTGGACGCCCAGAGTATGAAACAGATCAACCTGGAGCTCATTTGGAGGAGGAGAAATGGGGCGATAGTAAGAAGAGGGATCAGGAAGAGGCCAAATCTTCCCAAGGCTCTGCTCACCTGCACATGTCTGAAGGCAGAGGGGCAGGGGGTGGTGAATATGGGGAGACCAGAGATGTGTGGGGTGGTCACCCCATCCCCGAACCTCCTTGTTCCCATCACACACACACTCTCACATTTAACACAATCATACACACACACACTCGTACCAGACTCAATCCCATGAAGGGAAAAGAAAAAACAGAACAATTTGATTTCAGCACTTGACAGGATGGTCCTTGCCTTTCCGCAGACCAGAGAAGTGTCACAGATGTCATTGCTCTGTCATCTCCTGCAAGCTGGTCTTCTAACTCAAACCTTTGGGGCAGCTGTTCCACTATGCTCGACGCTTCCTGGATCCGTTATCAATTAGCTGGGTGACCTTGGGCAAGTTACTTACCCTTTCATTCCTCATTTCCTTCCAGTCTGAAATGGACACGATAATATTACTTGTTTCAGAGGTTTGTTGAGAGGATTAAATGATTTAATGGATGTAGATGTTTGGAATTACGCCCAGCACAAAATAATCCTGTTTGGTGGTATTTCAATCCTGCGTAGCTCAACAAGGGAGGTGTTTTTTTTTTTTTAGATGAGGAAACTAAGATTCAGGGACAAATGATTTACCCAAAGGCTCTCAGCTACCAAGTCTCAGAGTGGGGCTCACTTCCAGCCACACCGCCTCCGGTCCGCTGACACCTCGGAGTCTTCTGAATCATCTCGAGCCCATGACACCTGCTGAGCCCTTTGCCTGGAGTCTGCTGTCTCCTCTTAAAGTCACTGCCACCTGTGTTTTCACCCTCTGTGAATGTTTGGTCCCTCCAGACTGAGTCTCACTGTTTACCTCTGTGAGGTCAAGTACGATCCAGGCATCAGGCTTTCTGGGTAGCCCACGGGTCATCACCTTGATCACTGAGGTTGGGTTGGGCCACGTAGGGTTTGGTGGCCTTGGGGTATGTGCTGCATCCTTTAGAAAAGGGATTTCAAAAATAGATAGAGTCAATATATACCATTAATAGGAACGGCAAAGACTGCTGCATTCTTCAAGGTAATGACCTCCCCGAGGGCGAGGAGCGTTACTGCTTAATCACCTCCTACGGACTCATGGGCACATTTCGTCTTTAATCAGTCTTTTTTTTTTTTTTTTTTTTTTAGCTAATGGCAGCAAAACTAAGACCTTTCCAACTTTCATTTTTTTGCTTTTGAAAGTATTCTTTTTCCTATGGCAAAAAAAAAAAAAAAAAAAGAGGACCATTCAGAAAAATATATTTTTATTTTGCACTGAGAACTTTGGGATCACTGGGGGAATAAACAGAGCATCGTGGTGAGTGGGCTGGCCCTGAAGATGGTCACCCACGTTAACACGCACACCTCTCCATTCAGTGCTGGCAAAATCGATGCGGTCCCTGCCCTTAGAAAGTTCTGCAAAGCGGTAGAGGCCCCTAGTCTGGGGGAAATGGGACCTGAATGCCTGAAGCCCCTCAGTACCGCCCAAGGCAGGGTTTATGTCTAACTGGGGCACCCCTGGGGCAGTCTGAGAAGGGGGAGGTCGGTTTGTGGTCATCCAGGGGTAAGCGTGGAGGCTCTGGTTGGGTGGCGGTGATAGGAAAAGGAAAGAGGCCCTGAGGGAGCAACCTGTCCATCTCAGGGACCTGGAAGTCAGAGAGGGCATCCAGACTACGAGCCCCAGTTCCCCTAACACCGAAGTGTTACTGAGAGAGGTACAGACGCTAAGAGGGAAAGCCGGTTGGGCTGGGGCCAAATCATGTAGTTTGACACTTCTTGGTTTGATACAGTCCGATGCCAAGTGGGAGGGTCCTGGGGGCGGCTATAGATCAGAGATTTGCTGATGTGATCGCGTCAAGAGAGTCCTGGGCTGCGTGCGGGATGAGCCCACGAAGAACACAAAGAGCCTTCGGAGGGGTAGCAGGGCAGGGGTGTGTGGCACCAGGCGACCCATCGGAGGGCAGGCTTTGCAGGGGAGTGTGTGTTCAGTGGGGACACATGCCCCTGAGAGGCCTGGAGGGTTAAGGATTAGAAAATAGTCATTGGGTTGGAGGTTAGGGTTTTTCTGAGGACCTTTGAGAGCATTTTCAGTAGAGCCATGAGGTGGAAATGGGAGAGAGGAAAGCCATCCCTGAAGGAAATAACCACTTCTAGGTCCAAAGGTTTGAAACAGAAGAGGACATAACGCCGCGGGATGCAGGCTCCAAGGGTCAGTGCGGTCAAGGGCAGCCTCTTCATAGAGCACCAACGCTGAGTGTTTGCATCCAATGGAAGTGAACCAGAGGAGCATGAGGATGAGGGAGGGAAGACCGGGGGTGTGCAAAGGTGAGCCACGAAGAAAATCCCTCTAAGATTTTGATGGATGAGCGGAAGGGGTGACCTCAGCAAAGAGGAAGGAGACGTGTGGATTATGGGGGAGTGTGAGGTTGACTGATGGAGGAGAGGCAGGAGAGGAGGCTGGAGGATGAAACTTCCTGTACCACGTGACCATGGCTTTCTCCAAAGCAAGAGGTCAAGTCATTGCCGGCAGGAAATTCTAAAGGGGAGGGGTGACCACTGGGGGTGCAAGAGAGGGTGCTTCCAGGGCTCTCCCCGCAAATGTCAGTCAGAGCTACCAAACCACTTGCCTTCCTGAGGAGTCAGAGCCCTTTCTTGGACCCTCTATGGGCCCCCTTAAAAGGAGAGGTTGGAAGCAGAAGCCAAAGTAGCATTTCTCAACATAGCTGAGGGGATCAAAGCAGGGGTCAGCGAGGGTCTCCCAGGAGAGGAGGAGGTGCCCAGCTAAAATGGAGACATTTTCAAAGAGGAAGGCCCCAGGCACAAACACAGACCCACTCTAGGCACAGAGCCAAACAGCATCATAGGAGGGGATGCTGAAAAGGTAGAAGCAAGCAGGTGCGAAGAACCATGAGCTTCTTCAGATCAGTGAACTGAAGCTTTTGTCTAACAAAGCCCTGTGTCTAGTACCCACTCGTCCCCATGCACCAATGCTGGGACCCTGCGGCAGATGCAAGGTAAGGTATTTGCTCTGAATGAGAGGCAGGTGCTGTAGTAATAACAACAACAACAACAACAACAACAACACTTTTGGAGTGCACTGCTTTATGTCCTTTACATAAAACTTATTGACTTTATTTTATATAAACTTTACATTAAACTCATTGAACGATCCAGTGGGGTAAGTCCCGCTACCATCTCCATACTTCAGATAAAGAAACAGAATCACCAAGACATTCAATAACTTGCTCAATGACCCATGACCCTCCAAGGTCTAAGGTCTGGACCCAGGTAGTGTGATGTCTCATGGCTGACACTGTCAACATCCTTATCTCAAAGCTCCTGCTGAGTGCGAGGCGCTATACTCAGTGGTGGAAACCAAAGAAAAGGGATGAATTGGGTCTAGCTTCAGGTGGCTAGCAGGTTCAAGCAGGTCTGGGCTACTACTATGAAATAGTAACTAATGACTTTCCCAGGATTTCCTATTTTCTGTTTATGCCATACACTCCCACCCCGATTTCTTGAATAAAAGAATGCATGAATGAAGACATGGATTTAAATAAGTGGATAGTTACTCATCATTTCTGGCCAGTTAAATGTGTAGGATTCATCAGTTTCCTGAAACAAAACAGAATGATCAAGTTTCCACCAGTAAAACTGGATTGAATTGTGCTCTTCCTGGTCCGTCTGCCTCCTTGGAGAGGCCACCTTCCATCATTGTCTCTGGGCTCATGGCACAACCCAAGTTAATGCCCATGGTGGGTGGTCCAGGCGGGTAGGATTCCGAAGTGCCTCCGCTCAGTTTGCCCCAAGTTCAGGTCCCCGACACTGTTCTCCTACTTCCTCCTGACACAGGTCACCTGGCGCCCTGATTCCTTCTCTGTATGCGCCTCCCTGCCCTAGTTCTGGCCTTGACATCTCTTGTCTGTACTACTGTAATAGTCTCTGAACAGACATGGGGTTTTCGAGTCAGATGGATCTGAATTTGATCTTGAATCTACCACCTGTTTGCAGTTTCATACTCGGGCAAATGTCTGGATCTCTCTAACTTCCGTTCCCTTACCTGCACACTTCGAAAACAATACTTTGCCTCGCACTTGATCACATCAAATGCCTACTACAGGTTCACCCTAGATGCTATTATAATTTGTGGGTATTATTGTTAGACCTCCCACCCCCAAGCCAGCCTACTATGGAAGATTAATCTTCCCTGAATCCAATTTTGATCATGTCATTCCCTATCCTGCGAAAGCTGCACTTGCCAATGGACAATGTTTGTAAGGGGAGTTACCTCGTTTTTCCTTTCTGGATGCCAGAATCTTGACTCCAAGAGTCAGGTGCCTCCTACACAGCCCACTCTCTCTATAAAAATGCCTGGAGAGGTTCTTCAATTGACAAAGACAATAAAGACAATACAGGGGTTTGTTAGTCAAGGTTGAACCCACTCAATGGGGTGAGACCAATATAAGTTTCACTGTACAGTCAGGTTATGCATACTTATGTGATGGGATAAGAATTTTTAGAAAATGTCAACAGAATTTTCTCCCTGTGATAATTCCTCTGGCCCTTTGCCCCCTTCAATTAGGCTAGTCATTCTGGATTCATTCCCTCGGGAAAGAATGTGATAGGAGAAAGCGGAGAGAAGGGGGACCTCTCAAAAGCCTTTGAGTTCCAAAGGCTGAACCCCTATGGACAAAAGACAGAGGAGAAAGTCGCGATTAAGAACAAGATTTTCTGGATTCTATCCTGCTAGAAAAATCGCTGGGATTAGGGAAAAGAGAAAAGGGTAGGGACCAGGGAGGGGGGTGCCGTAGCTCAGCTGCCCCGTACGGTCAGCCTGCACACTGCTCCCCATCAGCCGCAGTCCCAGCCCTCTGTTAGCTCTACATCCTGCCATCTACTGAGGACTTCCCTTCACAGCAGCTGGAATGTTTTTGACCAATCCATGAGAAGGATGCTCTTCTTCGCTCTGAGACTTTGCTTCAGCCCATTTGACTAACTCCGTGGGAACTGCCCTCAAGTTCTACTTGGCCAACAGTGGTTTGGAAAGACCCTATTATAATTGTGTATTACAAACCGAATCACATGCAGCAGGGCTCTGGTTCATACTAAGTATACATGTCTCTATTCCAGTCAGACATGAATTTATCCCCTTCAAAGAACGAAGCTATAATAGCGAGGTAGAGGGGAGCGGGGTTCTTTTTGAGATGGGGACCCTGCTTGGGCTTGATGCCTCTTGGTATTGATGCCACATAGATGGTAACACAGAGGGTAAATTTCTGATATAATAGAAGGAGGTTCTTGCTCCTTCCCTCCTGTCCTGGTGTTCTCTCTCCAGTGCCACCTTCTGGGCTGGGACTTCTAGAGGGAGGGTGGGTGCTTCTAGAGGGGTGGGTAGGAACATAGCCAGATCTAGTTACCTGGGAGAGGCTATCAGTGGGTTCAGACACCCCATGAAGCCTTCTGGGGTAGACTGTTCCATCAATGGCCCCCAGGAAACCACTTTCCTGTGTGGTCCCCTCCCCTATGGACTCTGGGCTTGGCCACGTGACTTGTTTGGCCAATGAGACATTCGAAAGCATGACGTAAGCAGACACTGGATAAGCTCTTGCACAAGTGGTCCCCTTGGGACCTTCCTCTGGGAAATTGGCTACTCTTTGGTAAGGAAGCCAATGCAGACTACTGGAGGAAGAAAGGCCCCGTGGAGGAAAATCAAGGCATACCGGCTCTCATTCGGCACCAACAACAAGCCATGTGGACAACACCTTCGTGGACGTTTCCCCACCTGAGAGCAGCAGCTGATACACAAGGGACAGAGTTGAGTTATCCTGCCTGAGCTCTCTTCAAGTTGTAGAATCATAAGCAGGTAACCGTTGTTGTCATCTCGAGCCACTAAGTTTGGGGTAGTTTGTTGTACAGCAAAAAGTAACAGAAATATCTTCTTTCTGAGGGACGCTTTCCTGTCCAATTGTGGGGATTTCCCACAGGGCAGGGACCTTATCCATTCTGATCACCTATATCCTCAGCCCCTAACAGCCTGTAATAAGTGTCCAGTAAATATTTCTGGAATTCACGACATGAAACCAAGCACACAGCACTTACACAGCATTACAATGCTCTTTATCCTGTCCTTCTAAAACCAGGAGCTTCTGAGCCTTGAAGCTTCTATTTATTGTAAATGAATCGTGGGTACATTTCTAAGAGATCTATATGTGTGTGTAATGGTTGGTTAATAGGAATTTGACTACTATTGGCTATGGACCTTTGGTTAGCTGAAAACTGAAAACAAGGGATGATAACTACCCTTACATTCCAAAGATTGGTGGTCAACACATTTGCAGCACGTGCTGAGATGACAACAATCTTTTCTGACACCCTATTCCATTCTTTGCCTCCCTTCTATATAAGAAGAAGACAGGCACTAGAAATCCGTAACTAGAAATCTGGCTAGAAGCTGGAGCCAGGCAGCCTGAGTTTGAATCCCCACTTGGCCACATACCAACTGGGAGACTTGGGCCAAGTTACGTCACCTCTCTGTTCTTCCATTTGCTCATCTGTAAAACAGGGGTGACGATACCATCTACCTCACAGGGACGCTGTGAGGATTAAGTAAATCACTGTAGAGAGGCTAGGCAGCTCTGTGTATGGAACCCCGAGAACAGTGCCCAGCTCACAGTAAGGGCTGATGTCAGCTATCATCAGTGTCATCAGGGCGAATGAAGAGCTCTTTGAAAAAAATTGGCTGTTGGGGAGGGGCATACATTTCCTGGTGGGAGAACCCCAAGTTTGGGGCTGTTTGCCAGAGGGGAGTTGACATATCATTTATTGACTGTTGGACTGAAGAAACATCCTGACCCTTCCTGAGCTTCTCTGGGAGGGGACATAGTGAGAGAATTCTTTAGAAAATTTAACTGGCATCCCCCGGCAGGTGGAGGCACCAAGAAGGGAAAAGTCCGAAGGGGTGAGGCTGGTAGAGTGAGGAGAAAGGCCTGAGGTGGCCTATGCACCCCTCCAGGGTTGGAGAGGTGAGGATGCTGAGCTTCCCACCAGCTAAGTGGACAGTCGCTCGAGGAGACGTGGGAGAGGAGGTGAAATCATGGAGGTGGTACTGAGGGCCAGCCTGAGAGTCTGTGGGCCATGCTGAGCGGGAGGTCCCAGTGTGGGGCTCTGGAGAAAGGCACTGGAGTGCTCATGGAGGACAGGTCGGGGTTCAGACATCTGCCATGGAGATCTCTGGACAGCACCAGCTCATTCCCTAATCCGATTTGGCCCTTTCCCTTCCCTTTCAGGTCCCTGCTGCAGCTCTGGAGGGGTGAGGCAGGTGGCAGAGGGACTCCGAGAGTGAAGAAAACCCCCCACCTCCCAGTTTCAGGCTACTGAGGCTCAGTAGGCCTGAGCTGGGGAAAGAAGAACTGGATGAGGCTTTGAACTGGATGAGAAATTGAAATTTTAATATTAGAGCGGTCTGCACTTTATCCATTTCTGAGGAGGAGACTTTTCTAGTGCCGACCAGTGACTGGCGATGCTCTGGGCTCAGCCCCAGATACCATCCGGGAGCAGGGGTGCAAAACGCATGGGCTGGGAAGAATAAGGCTATCCGTGGAATATATTCAGTTACTTTAATATCATCTTGTTTCATCCGCACGACCGCTCTGCGAGGTAAACTGCCTTCCATATTCCCACTTTCCAGAATCTTAGCAAAGTTGACGGACTTGCCCGAGGTGCCACATCCGGCGGGGGGGCAAAGGGCCTGACTATAACCGCTCTAACACTCTTTGAGGCGGATGCTGTCTCTCGCACCTTTGCATCCCCAGTGCTTAGCGCTGGCCCCACCATCCAGAACATGCTCTCTACCGACTCGTAAATGGATGCATTGTCCCCATCAGCAGCCCTGCTATGCCCTCACCAGGGCCGAGCCCCCTCTGCATCGGCAGACAGAATTCTTTAGAGCCAAGCACATTGGGCTCTGGCCCAAACCGGAGCGCAGCGCCCCGATGGACCAGGAGAGAGCCATTGTACTTCGCGGCGGCTGGTCTTTGGTTCCTCTGACCCTCCTCCCAGCCCTTCTACCACAAGACTGTGCTCTAGAGGCGACCTGGTGGCAGACACTGTGCCAGGCTGCTGGAAGGGAAGCCAGCCTTAGCCATCTCCCCTGAAGGTCTCACGGGAACAAAACTGGTATCAGGAAATGTCCCCGTGCGCCTGAGAGACTTGGATAGATTGGCCAGCATGCCTGTATCTTCCTCTTTCGCTCCGTCAGAGCATGGGGTGAGACGGATGGATGAAGGTTCCAGGCTGTTGCTTTGTGGGCTGGTGATGTGGTGTTTGTAGTTTCCACACACAGGCAGCTGATCGCACGGGTGGAAGGAAGGTGGCCTCAGGGTGAATAACCCCGACTAGAAAGGGGGCAGGATTCCCAGCACCACGGGCTTGGGTGTGTTCTGTGCTCGAATTTGGCCATGGGTGTGTCTGATGTTCTGGGATTCGTATCATTTCAAACAAAAGCTCAAAGCCACACACCGAGAAGATTGTCTCTGGAGATTTGGGAAAACTGCTCAATTTTCCAGAGCTGCCCATAGAGCAACTCCTCCCTAATTTCATTTGCTGTTTGCAAAACATTTTCACAGATAGCCTTTCATGAGCTCCTCATAACAGCCCCCAAAGTTGATGGGAAAATATCACTATCCTTCTTTTACAGAGTTCCTGGAACTTCAATATGATTAAAATACTTGCCTGGAGTCAAAACGGCCGGAGGTGAGGGCACCTGGCCTCCTTCTGGCCTTGCTCCCCGTCCCCCCTTCCCCCCCATCTCCCCTTCTGCGGGCCGGCCCTGGGCCACTCCTCAGGTCAACCGTAGCTCTGGTGCCCAGCCTGCGCCGGGACTCGGGGTCCCACGTGCTCGGGAGGGGAAGTCAGCTACCTGGGGAGGTGCTGTGTGGGGTACACTCCCACCATGGCACTATTTTATATTCCCTTCTGGTTGACCTTAGACCTTTCCAGGGAAAAGTAGTTCCATTTCTGGGGATTAATGTTCAGATAATATTCAAATCCGGTCACCAGGACAGATGTCTAAGGGGTTCACCACAGTGTCATTCAGAGAAGGGACACATGGCAAATAACCTGAATATCCAAGAAGGGGTCCACTTACACAAATTCAGATATATTGAATCAATGGAATATTATTCAGCTTTTAAAAACTCACCTAGTAGAAGGACTTGAGTGACATGGAATGATGTTCTTGATCCATCTTTAAATAAACAAAACAGGTTACATGAGAAGTGTTTCAAGATGGTCCCATTTTGCTTTGACAAATATTTCTATCTCTGTCAACAAGCTGGTAAGTACCCAGAAGGCCATACACCCAAAAGGTAATGGGAGCTATTTCTGGCCCGCAAGGTTATAGGTGATTTTTATTTCTTCTCTTTATCTAGGTTTTCTAAGTACTCTACATTCAACGTGACTTAATCTTTTTTTTTTTTTTTAAGATTTTTACTCATTTATTTGACAGAGAGAGAGAGAGAGAGCACACAAGCAGGGGGAACGGCAGGCAGAGGGAGAAGCAGGCTCCGCACTGAGGAGGGAGCCCGATGCGGGGCTCGATCCCAGGACCCTGAGATCACGACAGGAGCCGAAGGCAGATGCTTAACTGACTGAGCCACCCAGGCATCTGAGTTAATTTTATAATATGAAAAAATGTCACAAAGTAGCAAGACAGGATTAGCTCTACTGTTTTAGTCATGTAGTGATTCAGTCACCCAGCTATTTGTATTTAATGTATTAAGTGTTGGAGATTCAGAGATGAATTCAGAATAGAGTCCACAATCCCTGTGCTCTCGTCCCTTCCCAGGCTCACAGGGCACCCCTTAGAAGAAAGGTGACATCTACTGAGGATTTACACCATGCCAGGCATCTTCCTTCACACGCTGTATTCCCCTGAATCTTCACCGCCATCCTGCATGGGAGGCATGATGATTTCTGTTTTAAAAATGGGAGGCTGAGGTTTAGAGAGGTAAAATAACTTGATGAAGTTTCTATGGCCAATTAATGGGGGACCCGGGGGTTAGAGGACAGGTCGGCCTGAATGCCCTGCCCCCATTTCATGCCCTGATGCCCTTCACCATGACCTTGGCTGCTCCTATTTCACAAGGATGGATCTTGAATTCTTGAGCTTGAATGGCTTCTAGTGCCCGCCCTGGTTGAAGCTGAAGCATGGTCTCGGTAGCACTCAAGGAGGTAGCTGAATTGCCAGGAGCAACCCTGAAGACCTGGTTTTCTCAGCTCTCCATCACCTAGGGGAACCTAAGCCGATGAAAAGGCCCCTGACCCACGCTGTGCCTGCCATGCGCCATCAACTTTCCTCCACCTGCTTCCCACGAGAGACGTGTCTGGATCACGCACCGCTATGTGTTAGGACTAAGGATTCCAGGGAATCCTGCTGCACTGGAGTAGAGATCTTTTGCCGGAAAAGGAATTTGCAAGTTGCCATTTAAAATTGTGAAATCCAGAGGAAAGCATACAGGAAATAAAAAACCCCAAACAAAATAAAAATCCCCCCCCTGTGGGCTAAGCTCTGGGGATCAAATATTCTCTTTGTATTGTGCAGAGGGGGAGCCTGGGCAGCCAGGGCAGGAGTTTTCAGTTGGCCACGCAGAAAATGCTCCTGGGCACTCCCTTTAAAAACTAAATCAACATTATTTTAATTTGTGTTCCCTGCTTCCTCGTTCACATGGAGAGGAAGGTGTGAGGATGAGCAAGAGCATATTTCTCTTACAAGTTAACTTAACATGCAATATGCAGGGGATTACTCTGGGCTCACTCAATACCACTGCCCAGAGCTTTATAGAATTCTATTGATCTTAGCTTAAAGCTGTTTAATTTTTTCACTTTAATTTTCTTTCCTTATCTGCTCATTAAGTGGAGGTGAGGAAGGGGCGGGGGACTGATGGCAGGTGACACTGCTTGGACTTCAGGCTGGTTTGAGGGACCTGGAAGCTAGTCTAGTGGCATGTATTGGCAACATGTTAACCCAGTGGCTTCGGGTGGGGGGTGGTTGCAGAAAAAGGGAAATAGGCATCCCTGGATGGATATTCTTTTGCTGCTAATATAGGATTCTGGGCATAACATGGAGGGAAAACAGAGTGAATCTGACATAGATATGACCCCCAACGAGTTTACCTTCTAGTAGGAGAGAAGCACATAAATCCAAAGTGGGACACGGATGTGCCAGGATGATTGAATGGGATATTCATTTTTGCTCTTAGGGGAGGCACAAAAGAATGAAAACCTAATTTTTCCCAACCATCCCCCAAACCTTTGGCTACAGTGTAATCCCGACACAGGGTCATCAGGGACTTCAGAGGGACTTGCCTGATGGGGGGTGTCGGGGTTGGAGTTTGGACAGAAAGCCTGGGAGGTGGGGAGGGGATGACTAGGGCTGATGGTCTGCGGGCTGGGAACTGTCATCCTCCCTGGGCCAGGTGGCAGGGCTTCTGAAAGGGCAGCCCATGGGGATCCGGGTTGATTATTAAGCTCCCGTGCCCTAGGAGCCTGGTGGGAGTGGGTTGTGCCTGCACTTAGCTCTGCAGGGTGCACCTCTGGAGGCTGCCTGCAGTAGGAAGGACTGTGGTGATGGTGACAGCCACCAAAGTTGAAGGACCAGGCACGCCTCTCCTTTCCTTGAGTCCTTGAATTCTTAGAGAGCCCAACTCAGAGCGGGAGGGAAGGCCAGTACTACTCATAAATGACATCTACTGAGCTTTACTATGTATCAAGCACCGGCTAAGTTCTCTAAATGAATCCCCACCAAATCCCTCTGACATAAGCCTCATTATCACCCCCTTTTTGTAGATAATACTGAGGTGGAAAGAAGTTAAGTCTCTTGTCCAAGGTCTTTATGGATGGTTAAGTAGCAGGGCCAGGATTTCATCCTTCTTGTTCTGGCTCCTGGACTCCTTGCCCTCAACCCCTGTGTCTTACAGGACCTACTGGTCCAGAGGCACATCCCTTAGTGGTCGTTCACATAGCTTGCTGGGGGAAAAAATAGAATCAAACGTGATGTTTTTTGTGCCCTCATATTGTGGAACAAATTTATATCTAGTGCAAAAGTAGTAGAAGGTAGAGTGCTATGGGAGTTCAGGACCCAACCAGCTCACTTCTGATGGAGAAGACTTTTTCCAGATGGGGCTGTGAATGAAGTGAAAGTGCAAAAGAGAAATAAGGAGTTCCTGGGGACAGAAAATTTAGCATATTTTTGGAGCCAGTGAGCATTTCCATTGCCTGTGGCATGGAATGGAGAAATGGTAGGAGGTAAAATGGGAAAGGGAGGTTGTGTCCAGGTCAGAAGGGATTAAGGGAATTGAACTCTATGCTAAAGGTCGAGGGCAGCAAAGGGGTTTCACTTCCTGGGCTGCATTTGATTGGCAGAGGCTGTCTGGACCGTTCTGAATGAAGGATATACAGAATTAATGGAAAAGAAAGCTGGATCAAGCAGCAGTGTCCACCATGGAATGAGTCTCACCAATCTCTTTTCTTGTCCTGGCGTTCAACAAAGATTCTGAAAGACAACAGTGAGGTTGGGCCCTGGTGGGGAATACATGCCCCAAATTATTATCAAACATCTGGTCATTCCGAGGTACAGAGACTGATTCCTTTGTGTCATCAATTACTCGCTCCAACCCTCCCCACCAATTTTATTAAAAATGCCTGAAAATAAGGAAACCAAATCTATTTGGCTGTGTATGCTTCTCATCTGGAGCTGCTGAATCTGATCCAATGGGCAGAACCCTGCATGGGACTCCAGAGCACCAAGGTCTAAGCTGAACTCTGCCAATAACAGCTGGGGACCTTAAGGCTCATGTCTGGGCCTTTCCGAAGTCATCCAGCATCACAGAGCTTTTGTGAGAAGAAAAGGAAGTAACCTATTGGAAAATACTGTGACAATGAAAATGTGCCCTCCTGGTTAAATGCCATATTTTATCAAATAAAAAATGTCATTGATTGTAAACTTTTATTATTAAGAAAGAAAAATGCTGCCGACTACAGTACCCCATCCAGTTTCAATCACATTCTGTTATCAGGGGTGTTAAAATGCTGGAAAAACAGCATTTTGGAATCAATGAAATATGGAACATTATGACAGAGCTCCAGCTCTGAGTTACTAACCTCCATTTAAATAAGTTAAAAATGTGTTTGCTTGGATTACAGACTAGGTTCTTCATGCATGAATCGCCACGTTCAAATCAACTCATGCTACCTGACACAAAAATCTGGTCTCCCATTCTTCCTTTGTAATTGAAAGTTGGAGAGATATGGTTCTTTAAGGGGAGATTGTCCCAATTTACAATGACTATGAAAACACTAGTTTGACTGTTGATTCAGATATAACTGGTTCTAAATCATATAAGCTGCCAAACAGCCTTGATTAAACACTTGCTAGAAATATTTCAAGGTCAAGGAGCCTTGCAATTCTGAGTGTGACACAGTAAAGCTGTGTTAGATGTCAGTCTGGGGCTGGAAATAGTAGAATGTGAGGCCCAAGCTAAAGCTCACAAGCCTGGAATTCACCCTCTTTTCCATTTTATTATTTGTAGAATCCTTGAGAATAAGCTATGTGAACACAAACTATCATCTAACCAAACAGGACAATGTGTATGAGACATTCCCAAGGGAGCCAACACCTAACAATTCCACCACCAAACAGGGCCTGAAACTCTTTTCCAGGCTCCAGTTTGAGACATCCCAGAAACGAATTCTGATCCGCCTCCTTCGGATCATGTGCCACTTGTAGGCAAGTCATTTGTGGCCAAGGGGTGAGAGTACTATGATTTTAGACCCCGACTACAAATACATGATTTAAGGAAAGAGAAGGAACAACTTTCTAAATGGGGTGGCCCACTATGCCAGAAGAAGGGAAGGGTTCTGGCAGACAAGAAATAGATGCATTTCCGTTACCAAACTTATTCTCAGAACGACCTTTTCATCTCATGGCATGAAAAAGAAAGTCCTTAGAGGTTTGGCTGACAACAAAGTAATCTTATCACCATAACAGTCAGGCCAATTTAACCCATTAATCAATAACGGGGTATTGGAGCCTCCACAAGATCATAGCCGCCATTTTGGTGAAGGCTAGCATGCCATTCTCTAGAGGACACACCCTGGAGGCAATGTGTGTCCACCCTACAGAAATTCCTGACTTTCTAAACCCTGTTATTGGAGAACACAGTCTGTCTGTCCAACTGCATGTGTACC